GATATATTATCATGTTGTAATGAAAATAGCAATTTACCTGGTTGCACTCTAAAGCTGTCGAAATCAGGTGCTTGGTCAGTGACCTCTGGCGTCAGACACCAACAATAACTGCCACCCTCTCACGTCAGCATGATACACGGCTGATCACTGTTATTGTTTCATGGTGCCTGGTGGCATCAGGGGGAAATGCAGCAAGACAATAAAGGTGGCAATAGTATGAGTAGGGTGTGTGGGAGTGGTGGTGGACGGGTCCAACAACCACTGACTTTCACCTGGGAGGCCGATGTTTAGCCTGGTTCCAGACCATAGACCCCGCCCACTCAACTGAGTAGGCTTGCATCTCTGGTCTGGCATACTGCAATGAATTTGCGATTTATCTTGTCCAAATGATGTACGGACCAATGAACGCCGGGGGTGGGGGCGGGTCTAGCGATTAGCCAATCAGCGCCACGCTGATGTCAAGCTGTGCACCGGTGGGTAACTGGTGAGGATAGCAACAATGGCGACTGCTACAGATCCTACAGACCACATTAACGATGCTATCGAGGTATTCCACCACTACTCGCATTAATGGAGGACCAAATTAAGGAAGCTGCTAAACTGGATTTAACGGCAGCTGGGCGTCTATGTGCACGACAACGGAGACATTTTAAATGGCCAATGCTCACTTGTTTTCGGCACCCCCGAGGCATGGATACTAATGACGTCAGATTCTGAGTGAGTCGTTGATCTCTACTGATTGGTTAGGGAAAAATCAAATTCCCTCCCCCTTGTAAATCACCTTCAATGGAGGCAGTGTCACACTGAAGGTTCTGGGAGCTTCAGTCTGACACTCAGGCTAGCTGATGTTTGCTTCCCGTGACACTGTAAAGTTAAACCTGGTTCTTCTTTCCTAAACACGAGCTTGTGTAGGCAAAATGTAACCACGAGTGTTTGTTGTTGAAGGACAAAAACGGCAATTTGCAGTGTTGTACCGATGTAGTGCTTTTATGGATGGGTCCAACAACCATTAACTGTCACCCAAGAAGCTGGTGTTCGCATCCCAGAAGACTGTAAAGACAAATCCTTTGCTTTTCTCCTATACCTCAACCACATGCATATGTTGTTGAAGGAAAAAAAGTCACTTCACGGTGTTGTACCGACAAAGTGCTTTTATTTTGAAAGAGACTGTATCAAACTGTACATTTCCTGTGAAAACAGAAGTGTATGTTGAAAACAGACAATGCATGTAACAACCAACACACCCAGGGTACCTTGGACGCCATATGTGGATGTGGAAAGTCCATGACCAAACGTGGACATGTGACGAGGTCACAGTGAGGATGAGTTGCCTAGTTCCTACTACCCTCACTTTTGAGGTACAAGGGTCACAATTTATTTGTCTGTTAAAGGTTGTTGTCAGGTAAGATCTATTCCCTTCTATCAGTCTGACTCTGCCCGTCTGTTTATAGACTGATTGCTAAATGGTATGTTGGCTTTCTTTGGGAGCAAAAGATGGATATCTAGATTACATCCATCTCAGACCTCCACCATCCTCAAGTCTTGTAATTACCAGGCACACGATCTGCTTTGTCTTCCAAAAGGGATGGACTCTAATTGTGGGCCAAATTAAAGAGCTTAATGAAACACTGCTGTGGTTCATTTATCACCACTAACAGAAGGACAGCGATGACAGAGGAGGAAGGAGAACGCCAACACATAAAATATCTATGTCGTGTTCCTTTGGCTGAACTTCTCTACTTGCTCATTTACGCTCACATTTTCTTTTCAAAGCTGACTGAAAGGAAATATGTAAAGGACCGGAAAATACACTGAGCAAAAAATGAACTATTTTGACAAAGCAAATAAAGATTGTGAGCCTCCTCCTCTCTCAGTCCAATAGACTGCGATTTGGTACACAGCTGCCCCCGGCACTGCAAACAATACCACACCCTTGTGTGTCCCCGATGTGTGTGTGTCTGTGTGTGTGTGAGTCTGTGTTTTGACAGATCTGACAGACTGTGTGACCTGCCAGTGGTGGACAGATGAGTGTGTGTGTGAGTGTGTGAGCGTCCAGGAGAAAGTGGTTTAAGAGGCTCCTGGATGACAGAGGCCTCCCAAATGAGATTATATTTTATTGTGAGTGCAAGGACCTGGCTGTAATTCAGTTTGAAGAGAACATCAGGCCTGCATTAAACTGGGAAAGTTCACACTTGGCAATATGGACCAATAAGGGAGCAGCAAGGCTTTAGGTAGGGCATAAAGGTAGAAGAGAAAAATAAGACAATAAATGGCAGAGCTTTCCCCACTACCTCCTGCTGGAACAGTTGTGCAGTGGAACTTCTTTTATTCCCTGATGTGCCTGAAGCACACGGTGGTGGGATCTCTGGCAGGACCCATGTTCACATTAACAAAGACTTTAAATATTGTGATTAAACAGTTTCGCGTCATGGCACAGGTCATTCTACAACAAGCAATAACACAAAGCAGTGTCTGTGATACATAGCAGTTATGATGTGAATATATGTATACAGCATATGTTTAGCACAAGAAAATTACCTGAGCTTTCAGCAACATCTCATGTCCCCATCAGTGGATGTTTGCTCAGTTGTCATGAGACAATGACCCATGAATTTGCACCAAAAGGAATGACGGTACATCCTTAACGTGCAGTTACATAATTAACATAATGTTACAGAGGGTAGGTTTGGGGAAATTAAGTTACTGTGGTTAAGTTAAGGAAAAGACACATGGTGAGGATGAACCGCAGAAAGTCCCGAGCAAAAGTCTTTTTTTGGTGACCACCACCCCAACCTGCCATCTTACAAAAGCTGGGGACCGCTTCCTTCTTTACTGCCGTCAGTGCATTGGCCACACAATTGCAGCTACATACATGAAATATGTAGAGTTTTGGGTGCACTGCTTTTATGTACATACCAAAAATTTGTGAGAACAGCCCAAACGTTACTGATGTTTACGTCAGACTTTAATCAGTTACGGTTGGCTGTTAATATGCTGCGGGAAAAATGTTAGCTTATAGCAACCAGAGTCCTGCACAGGTCCATTTTTAATAAAAAATTCTGCATACCCCTCTACCTGTAAAGTTCAATACCAGAACTGACCTGTTACCCGTCATTAGCCTCTTTTACACTGCCAGATTTTCGGCGAATGTTGGGCCGTTTTTCCGGCAAGCTGCGAGCGTTTACACACACAGAGCCGGATTGGCGAGTTGATCCGAGGTGCCCAATTTTCCGCCTCATAGGGTAGATATATTGGTGGAACCTTTTTGGTTTAAACGGACCAAGGCGGCCTTCTGCAACGGGAAGGACTGTTGATGACTTGTGGGAGGAGCTGTTGATGATGCCGCACATGTGACCCACTGGCGGTGGATAAACAGGAAACAGCTGATAGCAGGAATTAGCGAGCAGCTAGTAGCAAGAGGGAAACACAAACCTGACAGACACTGTAAAGATGAGCAACTGGGGAGACAAGGAATTGCGCGCCCTCCTTGTCCTCACAAACAAAGAGGCCATTAACCGTCAGATGACGGGGACGGTGAAGAACGGGCCGACTTATGAGAGAATCACCGAAGGACTGACCAGCCGCGGCTTCCCTCCCACGTCACTGTTTACGTCACACGCTGAGCTACACGTTTTGTTACTTGCTCACGCCCCCCATTGCCCCAAAAAAGGCACATTCTGTATAAACAAAAGTAGGTAGGCGGCATTTTGCTGCACTCCCCGATTTTGTTTTTATACTGCCAATGCTGAAAAAAGACTGATTGGGCTTTCCTGCAAATTTGCACAGTTACTGTTCCTTTTGTGTCTAAGTCAAACCTGCACCCATGATCAATCCTCCCAGGCTCCAGTCCCTCACATGTCTTGAACTCCATGTAGGCTGCCACCTCATCCTCGGGCTGCAAAGTGTCATGGCTGGAGTCCTCCACGTCGGTGACCAATGTGACCACGGGGTCAAAGGTTACACTGGTGTCACTGACTTTCAAAATAAAAGGAACTGCAGCTTGATAATAGTGATTTAGATGTTAGAATATTACACATATACTGCACAGCTTTTTACTGCGTTTTATTCTGAAAAATAAATAATAAAATAATTCGTTCATGTTTAATCTACTTCCTGTTTTATTTTGTAGATTCTCTCCTCATGTGTCATGTCTGGTTTTACTTCCTGTCTTTGTGTGTTTTCCCGCCTGTTTTCTGTCACACCTGTCTCGTTAGTCCCTCCCTGTTCCCAGAGTCGTCCCTTCACACCTGCTCTGTATTAGTCTTGTCTGCTCCACCCTAGTGTTCCCCTCCACACCCTTGTTGTTAGCCAATCCCTGTTTCCCTCCTCCAGCTGTGTCTCATCCTTGTGATTAGTTTTCTGTGTACGATTACCTGTGCTCATCCTTGTGTTCTGTTTGGATTTTATCCCTACTGGTTTTCAGTTTAGTTTTGATTCTGCTTTTATTTGGACTCTCAGTTACCTGCCTGCTCTGGATGTTTTTTTATCAGCTGCATTAAATCATGCTTTTTGTAAAACCTTAAACCTGCCTGCTGCTCTGCACTCAGTCCTTTCTGAACTGATACTTAACACACTCATGTCAAGGGGGTCTTTTACACATCCAGGCCCAGGGACCCATTGTGTCACAATCCACCCACAGTGCAATTCAAATGTTTTCTGAACTGCTTAAAAATAAAATACTTACATCACACACACACACATAGAAATAGTCCATTTATATTGACCTATGAATTCAATAATATGACAGTGAGAATAAAGAGTGGACCGAATTCTTGTAAAGATACAAAAGAAATAACCTCAAACAAGGACATGCTATTTCACATAAGACACCACCAACAGTTGGAGTTAATACGTAAGGGATAATGTATAATGAGCCGCTGCACGTCGGGGTTCTATTCCCCTGTCTGGAGTTATTTTCCCAGTATTCACCAGCTCATTATACATTATCCCGCTTATTACACGGCTAATTATCAGTTAAATAAATAATTTGAGACAGAATATTGATTAATTATATGATTTTTATTGATTTATAAATTAAATCGGGAGGAGAGAAAAAAAAACTGCCGGCAACGGCTGAATCTGTGCTTACAATAGCTACAGGGAATCAAGAGAAAATGAAAAGTAGTGTCCCTAGCAACGCTGGGCTACATAGCAACGGTCATTACACAGTAATGTCAGACCTCTGAATGCTGCGACTGACCAATCAGAATACAGCATTTAATAGAGCTGTGTAATAATGTGTTATAATAAATATATTTCAAGAATAAGAACTGCAGCACTGTAATAACACACATACACTCAAGATTACACATCACATTAAACATCAACCCCCGACAACAGTTTCTAATCATTTACAGCTCAAATTCTCTGGTGATTCAGAGATGAACTGTAGTTTGAAGTCTCTGCCTCCGTCCAGCAGTGTGTGCTGTGGCTTATTCAATGCCTTTATCCTTCAGTAGCTTCCTCACCGTCTTCAGGTAGTCAGAATCTGGGTACCCGTCACTGAGAGAACACAAAGTACACAGAGACAATGACTTCATTACATCAGGGGTAGGGTTTGTTATTTAAAGGGATAGTGCACCCAAAAATGTAAATTCAGCCATTATCTACTCACCCATATGCCGAGGGAGGCTCAGGTGAAGTTTTAGAGTCCTCACATCACTTGCAGAGATCCAAGGGGAGAGGAGGTAGCAACACAACTCCACCTAATGGAGGCTGACGGCGCCCCAGATTCAAACGTCCAAAAACACATAATTGAAACCACAAAATATCTCCATACTGCTCGTCCGTAGTGATCCAAGTGTCCTGAAGCCC